AGCATCTTTCAGATACATTTTTCTGGACAAGTGAGTGCTTGCCTGGCCTCAGGAAAGGGCATCAGTGAAACAGCAGCCTCCTCCCATAATTTCAATGTACTTCTCAAGGAAAAGGGGATTTCGGGTTATGAGATTCCTGCTTCTTTCCTTACCCCTCCAACTCAACTACTAATAAAATAATTGTTGTAAATGTAGACAGACCAACACAAGAACAGGCCACCCTGGTGTTGAATATCTGGCTGGTGCATGGGAAAACTGCCTCAGTTATTCTGCCTCAGCTGAGGTTCATGGTTCCCTTCTAATGGAGTTAGATGGGAGAACATTGTCTGGTCCTCAAAGAATTGGCTGTAACTCCTGTCCAAGGAAACAAGATGCATACCTGGCATCTAGTATGTTGGTGGGAGAATATATTTGCTTGCTCATCGACAAATGTAGGCCACAAGGATTGATGGGTAAAATTCTTTGGCCTGTATTACATAGGAGGTCAGACTAGAGGATCATAATGGTCCCTTCTAGTATTAAAATCTACCTGAAATATTGTTCTGTTCCCAAGAAATACGTTCTGTTGCAAGTGAGACATGGGGATGGTGGCAACAGAGTCGAAACTAAGGCTTTCTGCGCCTGGGGCAGCTACTGAACTGCGCTCCCCTCACCCAAACAAAAGATAAAATTCTTAATTTTTTGTATGTATTTTATTCGTTGCACCTATATTCAGATTGCAAATAGATGATAGTAAAGATATAAATGAAATCATATTTTAACTTTCTAACTTTTATTTTTGTGCCCCTAAATGTATTGCGCCTGGGGTGAGTGCCCCACTTGCCTCACCCTTGTTACGGCTCTGGGTGGCGAAGGGAATGCAGTTGTTAGCAGGTGACTTATTGGATCAGTCTTGCTCAGTGTTGTTTCCTTTTCCGTGCTGAAATCTGTGTTTCAGCCCTAATGAGGAGAGGACAGGTCTGAAGGTTGGCTGGTAAGCAAGCACTGGTCTAAGCAGGCTGCATGGTCAACTAAGCTGGGATGTTGAAAGTAAAACCCCATTCTTCACACCCTCAGGACGAGTGCAGCTGAAACAAGAAGCAATTGAATGTTTGTTTGTGGTGGCAGGGAAGGAGACAAAGACCTGGCACAAACTGTCCTCCTGCCTAAGCTTTATCACTGTGGTGATGGCCTGCTTAAGAAATCTTCTAAGGATTGGGTGCTGCAAGTTCTGACTTCTGTGTGAGATGCTGCTTTTGATCAGTAGAGCCTTAAAACAGTGTTGGCAGTTAAGCTTCAGCCCTAGGTACATCTGCTGTCCAAAGATTTGCTCTTTTACCCTCCTAGAGATTAGCAGTTTACCTGTGCTATCCTAGATTAGATATTGGGGTCTCTTCTTTCACCTCTCTGTGCCCCATGCCTCTTTCCTGGAACTGAATTCTTAAGCCCCCAATATTTCTCCCTGCTGTACTTCTTCCAAAGCTTTTCCTCCTTCCCACCTAGGCACCTATGATGTGTGGCAATTGTACCCTGTGCCTGAAAGCCAGAGACGTTGACTGGGACAATGCCCAGGTCAGAAGCCAGTTTCTATGCCCCTACCTTGCCAGGCGGTTTGCATAGAGGAGGCTGTTGGGATACCAAGGGCCATGTTGACCCTCCCGAAGCTTCCTGGCTTAGGCAGGGTTACAAATCCCTCTCCACTGCAAATCTCCCAAATTTGGGTTTTGAGTATATTCCCAGTGGATGTCTACAGTCCTGCCTCTAGTACAAGAGTTGCCAAAATTCTTACTAAGGTGACCCACCAACTGCATTGTCTTTCCCTGCTTCCCCTTTTCTCACCTTCCAGTGCCCAGCTCTCCCCCTCCCCCTGCCTACAAGCCTGCGTCTTGGCTCCCCTCTGCCCTCTTTTGCTCTCCCAACCCTTTCCCCTCGTGCAGCCCCAGCCATCTCCTATTTCTCAGGCTGCTGGCTATCTGCATACTGGATCCAGTTGCTTATCTTGTGCTGTTGCTGCTTGGATCCCATTCCCCTGCCTGCTATCCTGGCCCAATGACGATGGCAGCACAGTGAGGGCTGGGAGCACTTTGAGGGCATACCTTTGTTGGGGAGTGACAATCAACCTACATACACCTTTCCTGTACGTTAACAACTCTTTCGAGCAGTAGGGAGGAAGCTGACTTGATTTTCTTAATTTCACTGCTGCCCAGAGCATTCTGACTAGCAGCAATAAAACGGACAAGGCATAGTTCAGTCTTCACTCTGCTGTAACTTGGTGAAGGCCTTGAAGCTGCAGGACTGCACCAGTTCCCTTCTGTTCAAATTTGTAGTTATCTTTACCATTGTGAGGGCTAAAATGAGAGATTAGATTCTGTGGCTGTCGCAAGGATATGCTTCCCCGACTCTGTGCATTTGTCCAGTCCCTTAATCTAAGAACATTTTTCATGCAAGTGTTTGACAGCCAAAAGAATTAGGTATGTTCAGAAATAGCCCCATTCTCAGATAAAGAGCCTTGTTGATAGGCAGATTATATTGATAGTTTGCTTTTTTCATTGCTATGATGACTACATGAATAAGTAGGCATTTGCCATTCTGTCGTTTTGTGTGTGGTGTATATAAAAAGAACTTCAGCCTTATGATAACAGTGACTGTCTTTACGAGGGTGCCAATCTTTGTCAGTGAAGAGAATCTATAGCAAGAACTAAGATCCCAAGCCCACACTCAAAACAGTAGATCTCTGTGAGTTGCCCATCTTGCGACTGCTTACGTAAGCTGCAGAGGTTACTCCTTGTTGCTATTGCTATTCTGATCAAGAGAGAACATCTCTAAGCTTTGTTGCACTCTGTAACGTGAAACCATCCGTTCAACCCAATATTTACTCTTACCTGATTTGGCAGCATAAGCATGACTGAGGTAAGTGGTGACAGGCAGGGAGGTGAATGACATTAATGGATAGGAGGGGGAAAATGACTTTTTTTCCTTTAACGACTCAGACGCTATGGTAAGAGCAGATAAATAAGAGCCTTACCTCCCCACAACACTGCAGAAAGATTTAAGTATCCTAGCAGTGTTCTTGTAGGTATTGTCTTAATTTGACAGATCAGCTGGGATGTGGAATTGAGCCACAGATGAAGAGGAACCTAGCTACTTTGGTGAATGGAAGTATGGTAGTGTGGCATCACTGGCATGGTGTCCTGACAAGTCTCCTGCTCCATCAATGATAACCATTCGGCTGCATGCTTGGCTTCTCAGTGTGTCGTATTGGCTCGCACAAGTAGCAACACAGAAAACTCTTAAGAGCCCCCCCAGCTGGATTGACGGCACCAAGCCAGGTTTATTGTAAATGAAGCATGGTAATAGTTTCTCCGGATCAGATGTCGACAGGTCAGCTAAGAATGTGTGCCCATGACAATGGAACCATTCGGCTGCATGCTTGGCTTCTCAGTGTGTCGTATTGGCTCGCACAAGTAGCAACACAGAAAACTCTTAAGAGCCCCCCCAGCTGGATTGACGGCACCAAGCCAGGTTTATTGTAAATGAAGCATGGTAATAGTTTCTCCGGATCAGATGTCGACAGGTCAGCTAAGAATGTGTGCCCATGACAATGGACTCAACTCAGAGTCAGGGGCTCGGCCACTGTCCCCTAAGTCACACATAGACCTCTTCCTTGGGGTACACTTTTGTACACGGGTCCAGACAAGTTACACATCACTCCTGACGGATCAAATTGCCATGCTCTGATGCTACCTGGT